TAAATATAATGTCTAATTGTGTGGAACAAACGAGCCAAATTGCAATAGCACACACTAAATATTTCATGGCCAGGTGCCACAAACAAGGTCCATGTCCCCGCCCAACTTTTGCGTATTTCAAAAAAGTTCCCGCCCCTGCTCCCTCTACAAGAGTCTTCGATAACACCCCAAAGGCTATGATAACACTCAGCTACAATATTTACGGAATATGCGACGATGCAGACGATGCTTCCCAGTGTTATCACGACAATTCTTATGTTGCTTTGACCATAGGATTAACCTTTTGGGCGCCTCTGGGTGCCACAAGCTTTATTTCAGAGACCCTCAAACTTTTTAGATTGTCCTCACTGCAGGATGAAGAGGAAATCTCAGCACTCGGTGCAGCATAAGGCCGTCTTCTTTCAAACTCATAATTTTGTGTTGTTCTGGAACTTTTCTAACATTGAACATGTCGTCGAAGGCTGGATTTTGAATATTCAATCAAGTGAGGCAAATGTTTAGTGTGCTTATGAATTTGTACAACCGTAATATAATGCTGGCATATGTAATTGTTCTTAGAAATGGAGAAAAATGCAAACCAAGAATAAGAATAAAATAAGTTACAACTTGATCAATGTAATCCGATCACGTCCTCCTTGAGCAAGTGAGCATACTAATGTCTGAAGCCGGATTGCACATCGTGGCAGTTATCACTTATTCAGAGGGTATCCATGTTTTTTAAGGTTAGAGGATCTCACTATTCAAATATTACAAGTGGTTTAGAGTAACAAAGAAGAGTCTTTCAGCAAGGTGCGCTTTTTGGAAACGGTTTAGTACATGTTGTAGGGACGCATGTATGGACCACAAAACCATGTTTCGTTTTCGCTGAACGGTTTTAGTAGTACCAAAAAAGTGGTGAATAATACTCTTGATGGTTCAATCCCTCGCGACTAAATTTTGCAATCAAGGTTGGCGGCCACTTTTGGCTTCCAATGGTCTGCGCTGAACTTGATATCTGATTTTTGCTATTTAGACAGCGATCTGGCACCACCCAAGGCGAACAAATGCAACGGAGGATAAGATCCACTAACACCTTCCTTATGCTTCTTTTTCGTACTCCTGTAAGCGTTCAATGAAAAGAAATGAAATCTGGTTTTGTGCTCCCTATATGCTTCACTAATTAAATCAACAAACGTTTTGAAAAACACGTGGCTTACTCTTGTAACCTACTCCTGTTAGTCATAAGTACAGGAAGAGAAGAGAAAAACGCTTTCACCAATGAAAGCAAATAACTTCGTATCATTTAAAAATGACAATGTTCTCACATACGTCGGGTTTGAAACCACTTTATACAGTGTTAGACTTAAAGGAGGAATTCACGATTAGAATGAAGGTCGAAGAAAGGGAAACTGACCTAGTTGAGGGACCCACGGACCTCCTGAGGGTGCGAACTGACGCGCAATTCGCATGGAAAAATTTGACCTCGGCGACCTATCATGCCTCAAAGCTGGCGGGTCCGGCGATCTCCGCCCACCGATCATCTGATCACTCGCCGTAGTTCAATACGTGGCGAGTGATTAGATAGCTGAGAGAGCGTAGTGTTGAAGAGGGCACAGCGATGAGAGTCGCATCAATGCTCAAATCAACGGGCAAGGAAGGGGTCCCATTTCTCGGGTTCTGGGCCGTTTCTCATGGTTCTTCCTTCTTTCGTGTACCACTCACCATCCCTAGGTTAATTTGAAATGGGTTGCTTTTTCATCGTGAATTCGTCCTTTAAGGCCTACATAATCGCTCCATTCTGAAGCTGCTACATAATTTCTTCAATCGGATAACTGGTGAATGGCTTCTTAGAGACACTAGCTCTGACTATGCAAAATGGCTTTTGACCAGCGTTTCAGAGACGTCGTAATCGTCTATGGTTTCTCGACGACCTCGTTGAGCTCGTACCGCGAACCATGTTTCCGTGGGAAAATCTTCTGATGTCGTCGGTGTAGAAGGCCCCTATGTAATTTTTTTTTAGAATAGAATGCAATAGAAATGAATTAGAAATGCTGGTTTTGACAAAGCGTAATCAATTCTGTTTTGAATGTGAGTGGTGACTTTTTTGCCCCCCCCCTGTATATAAGCAACAAATCACCTTGGTCAACGATCCAGTCAAATAAGCCAAATAAGCTAGACTAGTGCCCGTTGAAACTACAGGAAGAAAGCCGTATAGCTCTTCGTGTGAAAATTTTGATTCATACAACCGAAATATAAATCTTTTTTTTGCTTTTATCACAAATCACATGCCAAATGAGCCTTTGTCCATTTAGAAATACCCGTGAGAAGTGCATAATTCCCCTTCAGGAACTCACCCAGTGTCAAAGACATAAAAAAACTTGTGATAGTAGAGGTTCTAATGCACATCCCTTCTAGAACGATAGGAGATCTCTCTGGAGAGGACATGTGCGCTACCCTATGGTAATCCAGAGAGCAGAACCTATGTTATTACTCATAAGTCGATTGGTACCTTCGAAGGCAGCAAACCAATCAACATTTTTGAGACTTTCATTGAAGACATCATTCCCTCCACGGAGTCAGGCAGAAGTGCAAGGTTAGGAGATCCCATTCATACTGAATTTCACTAGCATCAGCTCGAGCTAGGTAAGGCATCGTTACATTTTTTACAGCCCTGGAAGTAATCTCAGTACGGGGTTAAGGACGCGATACCCATAAGCTTGGCTGGCGATCTGCGGCTGTAATTGGCGAAAGAAGCTGAAAAACTACACAAACTGAAGCCAAAAGGAAAGAGTGTTGTCACTCCACTCCGATATCAACTCTAAAAAAACCACGCGCAGTGTAAAGCTATTAATTAAAAATTCAAGCTATTCAAAGCTATTAAAATAAAAGCTATTCAAAATATTTCACGACAAGGACGAAAGTCGAGAAAGCGGGATCTTGGCTAATGGAGGGGCCGGACCCCTTAAGGGTGTGGACCAACACGCAATTTGCAGCAAAGGATATGCCCCCGGCGATACATGGCCTTTGGCGCGGAACGCCCACCGACTATCTAATCACTCGCCGCAGGTCTATACGTGGCGAGTGATTAGATAGCAGAGAGAGCGTTAGTGTTGAAGAGGGCACAGCGATGAGAGTCGCATCAATGCGCAAATCAACGGGCAAGGAAGGGGTCCCATTTCTCGGGTTTCGGGCCGTTTCAATGGTTTCTTCTTCATCCCTGCTCCACTGACCACCTCTACCCTTATTTCCAATGAGCTACCTTTTCATCGTAAATCTGCCTTTAAGTTGATCTTACTATATTTGACGCTAAAGCGGTTGCAGTGGACCTGAAGAACCTCTCAGAAATATTCTTGATGAGCGGCAATATTTACAGGCACACATTTTACTCCTGGTCGTAGTGGGAAGGGGTTCACTGCGTCCTACGCAAATTGGCTGCGCTCATACCCAGAAGTATAACCGGGTTGTCGTGTCTAAGGACCAGTCCATCTGACTGCACTGCTTGTTCGCGATTCGCTGGCACTCCTTTCATGCAACATTTCAAAACTCAAAAACTTCAAATTCAGATACGCTGATGGGAACATGTCCGATCTGAACAACTCGTACGGAATACCGGCAATTTTGGAACATTAGCTGGTGCAATACAAGTGGGATGGGCACGCCGTATTTTTTGAATACGGTAGGTGCGAAATGTATGTAAGTGGGGACTGCTGCCCGCTACTATGACGTGACGAGACGCTATGAAGTAACTAAGGCGTTAAGTGGGTTGGG